TGGTTCTGCCCAGGTGCAGGGTCCCTGGAGAGCAACCCACGGTGTGCCCAGGCTGCCCTCTAGTGGCAGCATGAGGAAGCTCCAGGGGACTTCGAAACCCAGAAGGGACTCTACCAGCTGGTGGCACCTGTCCCCAACCCTTTTCCTCTTTCTATGCCACTGTTCCCCAAGTTTCCCTAGTGTGCAATCACTCATTATTCTCATGCCTCAGGCCCTTTGCTTTGTTTGTTCCCACTGCCTAGGATGCCCTCCTCCTCACCTGCCCCAGTGCCCAGGGTCAGAATTAGCAAAGACTTCCTCTCTTGTGCAGTATCATGTATTACTCTTTTTTAGTGGATGGAGCAGCCCAGTGCGTGGTGTAAATGCCTGGAGTGCAGGCCAGTATCTGGGCCCAGCACAGGTGCCACATACAGTGTGTTCCTTTATGCAGCATATATTTATTGATGACCTACTATGTGATGGGCAATGAACAAACCAAAGAAGTCCCTTTCTTTGTGGAGCTGACATTCTGGTGGGGGAGTGGCTGTGGGGGTGGAACACAGACAACAGAAAAATCATAGGTAACATGCCGGGTATGGATGAGGGCCATGGAGGAAAATTAAATGGGGATTTGGAGTGAGGGTTGGGGGTGCCACTTCGCAGCCATGAAATGGACGATCTTGCAGCTGTTCAAAAAAAAAGGAGGGTAATCTTGGTCGATGTTCAGGAAAGAATATAAAGTTAAATAAAAAATTATGAGGAAAAATGATGGAATAGTATGGGTTACATCTGTGGTTCTTACGGAATTAGTTATTGTATTTAATTTTGAAAGTTCATGGATTTAAATTCTATTCTCTTGCTAAACTGTTGTTGCTCTTCCAGTGTCTGGGAACCATATTTGTCCCTACCCCTCAGCCCGTGGGCACCGAGACCTCCAATCTAGCGCCCAGGAGTTGGGAGGAGCCGGCTGGACTGTCCTCTCCTGCAATAGCAGTTTCCTTGTTGTTCATCATCCTCAGGTTCCATTCTGGGTTTTGAGCTGATGGTTTGAAAAACTGAAAGCTGAGAATACTTGTACATTCATGTTCATAGCAGCGCTAGTCACAACAGCCAGAAAAGTAGAAGCAACCCAAGTGTCACTGATGAATGAATGGCTAACCAAAATGTAGTGTGTCCATACAATGGAGTATTATTCAGCCTTAAAAAAACCATGAAATTCTCACACATGCTACAACATGGATGAAACTTGAGGACATTATGCTCAGTGAAATAAGAAAGACATAATAAGACAAATTTACTACATGAGGTCTCTAGAGTAGTCAAAGTCATAGAGAGAAAATAGATTAGAGGTTGCCAGTAGCTAAGGAGAGAGGGGAATGGTGGTGGTTGTTTAATGGGTACAGAGTTTCAGTTTTGCAAGATAAAAAGAGTTCTGGAAATTGGTTGCAAGACAATGTAAATGTATTAACACTACTGAATTGTACACTTAAAAAATGGTTGAGATGGTAAAATTTATGTTATGTATATTTTATCACAATTAAAAAAAATTGTGAGCTGGTCTGGGTTGCCTCCCCAGGTCAGCCTTCTGAGCCTACTTTCTCACTGTAAAAATGGGTAGTTGTGAGCTTCAGAGAGGATGATCATGGCCCTCAGTGGACAGAGGACGGTGGGGTGGGGGGAGTTTCTCCCCTGCAGCCTCCTGCTCACAAGTGTGTGTGTGCACACCACAGCTGCCTTGTTGGTTCCGGTGTTTTCTGAGGATAAGACAGCAGTAAGTGTGTCAGGTTGAGATGTCCCCTGGGTCTGCCTCTTTCTCTGTTCCCCCCTTTAGCCCAGGGCCAGCGTGGTGGAACCCTCTGGCCCCAATTCGCTAAGTCCCTCAAGAACCTGACTGGTTCTGATTCCTCCCAGGAATGCTTCCAGTAACTTCCTCCTGCTCTCAGGAAGGTGGTGCCCTTCCTCTGACAGTGTGGTTGGATTTAGGGAAACATAGGGACATCAAACAGAAGCAGAGAAGGATGAAGGCCACCCCTTATTCTCACTCTCCTAGACGGGGAACCCCAGAAGACCATGGGAGGAAGGAGCTCTGGAGCTGTGGAACCTGGGGGGGGCCCCCAAACCTCAGCAGCTCTTCTGTGAAATGGGGCAAATGTGGACATGACCTCCCAGTGAGGTTCCTAGGGAAGTGCTGGGGAAAGGGACCCTCTGCTGGTAGACACAGACACCACCCTCCATAAAGGGACACACAGCCCATGGGCAGGGACACCTGTGGGGGCCCTGCTTCTCAGCCTTGGCTCCTGGCAGGGCCCTCGGCAGCCCTGAAAACAGACCCTGTGTTAGGTTCTTCTAAACAGCAAGGGGGTGCCCTTCCTACTCCCACAGCTGGGAAAATATGTCTGTAGCCCTTGTAGGCCCCTTAACAGAAGACAGGGAGGAGAGGAAGGCTCATGTTTCCCTTGGTTGTGCTTTCACTTCTAAAATATTCTTTTTCTTTTTTCTATCAACATTTTAATGAGGGGTTGAACATAAGATAGAAAAATAACATTCTAGTCACATTTTTTTTTTAAGAGGCAGGCTTTTCTTGAGACTTTCATACAAGGCAATGGATGAATAATGTTCACCTCCTAAAGAAAACGCATACTGAGCACAGAAAGCCACTTCTTCAAATGCCTGTTGGAGTTACCAACAACGCCGAACCAGCCTGTCACACTCTAGGGGCTGAGTGTCCTGTTTTTTTTGGAAACAGCTCAGTTCAGACTTAAGCCCTGTTGCTCTCAGAGGCTAGGGGATGCCTGACGACTGTCATCAGTTTCACATAGTGGGGTGATCACAGAGGGGAGGAGGGGTGTTGGTGGAAGGGTCCACATGCTTGCTTCTCCTCTGGTGGGGCGCTGGTGGCCAGAGGCTACTACCCCCGTGGGTAGCCTTGCTCACTCTCCATGGAGGGACATGTGATCCAGCAGGTGAGCTGGGACTAGGCCTCTGTGACCGCCTGATTCCCCATAATAGTATCCCTTGTCATCTACAGGCCCGTAGACTGTGACTACGTCCCCTGCTTTCAGCGATAGCTTGCCCTTCACCAGGCCCCCTCCTCGCCTGTCCTTGGGGTCATAGTCCAGAGCTGCCACCATGGTTGTCGGAGTCCACAGTGGAGGCCTCCTGGTGAGTCCACGAAAATCATCGAGGTGGGCCACAGAGGGCGTGTGCCCCTGCGCTGGCAAATGCCGCCTCCTGTCAGTCTGCTCCATGCCTGACTCTGCTTCAGCCACCAGGTGCCCAGGGATGTTGCCCACTTGCCCATTGCATTCACCATGGTAGAAGCCATGTGGGTCCAGAGAGCCCCACACTCTCAGCAATTGCCCTTTCTGAAAGGCCAGCTCCTCCTCTGCAACCTCGGGGTTGGCAGACATCACTAGGGGGTCATAATCAAAGAGGGCCACAAAAACCCTGACTGGAGTGTCCACGCCTACCCCCAGCTGTGGGGGGCCATCCCTGGACATCTTAATGACTTTGTTGGATGGAGCTGGACAAAGCACTGAGCTGGGCTCATGGAGCTGGCAATCCCTCTTGCTACCCAGAGCCTGACCTCGCCCGCTCTGGGCCCTAAGCTCCCTTCTCTGCTCTTGTCTCTCTGTGCCCCATGGACCGAAGCACACTGCCTCCGCCTTCTGCAAAATGTTGCGAAAGTCAGACACGTATCGTTGGCTTGTGCCCAGCTGGGGAGCGGTGAACACTTGGGCATCTTGCTTTTGCCTGAGGTCCTTCTCAAGGGTGGCCTTTTCCTGACATAGTTCTTTCCCAGGCCCACACTCGGGGGACAGATGGACAACTCCCAGAGCAGGGCTTTGGCTGGTGCCCCTGTGCTGGTAGTGGTCTTCTTCCTCCTCAGACTGGCTACTGGGCAGAGGCAGCCTGTAATTCTGGGGACTCTTCTGAAATAACACCTCCTTTCTGCATACCTCCCAAGCTTCTGTGGGCCCCTGGCCTTGGCTGCCAGCCTTTGCACTTGGATATTCTCTTTCTGAACTCAGGTTACGCACTGGGGAGTGCCTCTCTGGCAGTTCTTCAGGGAATGCTTCTAGGAACTCAGCCCGGGGCTCCCCACAGCTTCCGGGGGTGTGAGAGCTGGCTTTGGCAATCAGGGGAGCCAGTGCCAGCCTCTGAGGGCAAACGGGGAAGGTGACTCTGCATGGGAATTGGTCGCCACATGTATAGCTAAAGGGAGAGTTCTCCGGTAATCGTTTACAGGTGACACAGTCCTGAGGGATCTGAGCTGGCACCGAATCCAGGGACTCCCCACAAAGTGACATGGTTCTCACCGAGACCTTCTGGCACATCAGGGGCAGCTGGAGCTGGGACGATTCCAACAGGGTGCTCCCAGCAGTGGCATCAGTGACCTCTGAAACCTTGAGCCCATCGGCGTACACAGCATAGCCAGTGACCTGGACTCCATTGGAGGATCCGGCAGAATCGATGGTCACTGGGAGCCAGCTGACCACCAGGAGGCCTGGGGAGGTGTGGTGTTCCACCAGCACGTCCAGTGGAGGGTCAGGGGGTCCTGCCAAGGGTGTGTCAAAGGTGATGGTGGAAGACATGGTTTCCCAGTGTGTCTGCAGTGAGTCCCATGGCAGCTGCACCTCCACCCGCGCCTGGTACCGTGTGCTGGGATGCAGGTTTTGAAAGGTGTAGCAGCTCACACCTGCTGGGGTCAGGGCATGCTCCTGGTCATCAAGGTACACCACGTGGGGATGGCTGCTGCTGCTGTAGACCCAGGTGATCTCAGCCGATGTGGCTGCAACATTCTGCAGGTGTAGTTGCTTGGGGGCCACACAAAGGACCCCTTTGGCCCCCAGAAGGGGTCTGGAGAAGTCCTGCTCCTCCACACTCTGCAGCAAACCAAGCCAGCCATCTTCTGTCTTGGCATCTGAGATTTCTATTGCCACTTCTGTCTTGGAGCCCACCTTTTTCTGGCACGTCCCTCTGTCCACAGCTCCCTGAGTTTTCCCAGGCAATAAGCTGTGACCAGTGCCTTCCTTTGAAGCTTTGCCCTGCCCAGCTGGGACCTGAGTGGGGCCAAGGTCTGGGGACTCTGGGGGCAGGCAGCCAAAGATGTCACTGTCTGGAATCTGCTCCACCAGGTTGGAGGGCACCAGACCCCGTCGGCCATCCTCAAGCTCCCCTTCATAGAAGCCATCTTCATCCATGTCTCCAAAGATATATACGTAATCCCCAGCTGTGAGGGGCAGCTCACTCTCAGGGTGTTCATTGGGCCCCTCGAATGGGTTATAGCTATATCGAACCAGGAAGATCTTGAGCTTGAGGGCGGCAGGGGCCTCTGAGTCCCCCACTTCCAGCGTTGAAGACACACTGTCTGGATCCAGATCCTCCACCTCACTGGCTGTGTCCATGTCCAGAGCAGGGCAAGATGGCACGGTGGCCCATATGGACTCCACCTCTGAGGAGGAGTTCGACTGGGAGCTGGTTTTCTTGGCTTGGGGGCTGGAGTCCAGAGGTTGGCTGGCTGGAACTCTGTCTGGCACTTGGGGTGCACTGACTGGGTCCCCAAGGGCAACTGGGCTCTCCAACAGAGAGGTTTCTTTCTCCTGTTTGTCTCTGCTGGGCTGTGATGATGCTTGATCTTCAGGCTCTGGCTGGAACCTGGTCCTTCTGCTATTCTTGCCTTGAGAATCCGGAGCTGGGGGCGCCTCCCAGGGTTCCTGGGGAAGGTGACCAGGCTGACATTGCAGCGCCCGCATCTCCTCTCGAGCAGCCTGGAGATCACTCAGGGCCTTCTGCAGGTCATGCTGCAGCTGTTGCTGCTTGTCCTGCCCGCGTGCCGCCTGCTGCAGCAGCTGCTCCGCCAGCAAGCCGGTGGCATCCCGCTCCTGGCACGCGCGGCACAGCTGCCTGCGCACATCGTTGTTCTCCGCCGCCACCTTCCGCATCCAGTCTGCCTGGGCCTGCAGTCGCGCGTTCTCCTTGGCCAGCCAGGCACCCTCTCGTAGCGCCGCCTGCAGCTGCGCCTCTGCCTCCTCGCCGCGCCGCCTCGCCTCCGCCGCCTGCGCACCGAGCTCCTCGCACTCGCGCCGCCGCGCGCCCAGCTCGCGCTCCAGCGCCTGCACTTGGCGCCGCGCATCCTCGCAGGATGCACTCTGGCCGCCCGCCTCCGCCCGGGCTCTGCAGGTGGCCTGCTGCAGCGTCAACTGCCTCTGCAGGCGAAGCACCTCCCGTTGGGACTCGCGCTGCAGCCGGTCCAAGTCGCTGATGTTGAGCCACTGGGCGCTGGCCGCACCCCCACTAGGGTGCGGGGCGCTGCCGAGGCCCGAGGCGACGTGTGCCTGCAGCAAGCGACACTCCTGCTGCAGCTCTTCTATCTGTTTGTCCTTGGCCAGCAGCGCGCTCGCCTGCTCCGACAAGTCCCGAGAGCGTTGGCGGGCGAAGGCCTGGCACAGCTCCAGGCCAGCGCGGCTCTCGCCCAGCACAGGCGCGCTCACAGCCCGCAGGTTGGTTTCTTGCAGCTTGCGGGCCCGGTCTTCTAGGCGCCGCGCCAGGCCTGTTAGCTCCGCATGCTTCACCTTGAGCCGCTTCACCTTCTCGTCCTCCTTGTCTGGGAAGCCTGCGCGCCGCAGCTGCATGTTCTCTGCATGCAGGCCAGAGCAGCGGCGCGCCAGCACCTGCAATGCCTGGGACAGTTCCGAGTTCTGCTTCACCAGCTCCTGGTAGTCCAAGCTCAGCGGCGAAAGGGTCAAGGCCTCGCAGGGCTGGCTCCCGGAGTCTTCTCTTGGCGGGTCGCTAGGTCCCCTGTGCTCCGATGGTGGTGGTGGTGGTGGTGGTGGTGGCGGCGGCGGTGGCGGCGGCGGCGGTGGAGGCGGCGG